TTGAAGTCCAAGAACATCTGGAGGCCCAAGGTTGGGGACCACTGCTACACACAGCAAAATTTCTGGCTCCCCCTAGTGGCCAGTCCTGGTAATGATATCACAGAGATATATTTCTCCCGAGAACGCTATATGTAGCATGGTCTTTGACTCCCTCTAGTGGCTAATTCTAGAAACTACATCTTAAGAAATATATATTTCTCAGAGTTTTCTTTTAACATTTTTAATATTTTCAGACTGGAAAAATGAATAAGTGGATACAGATCCTGTGGATATAGGGGTCCTACTGTATTGTAGAAACAGAATGAAAACTCATCTACAGCCAGAGGTATTCTTTTAGTCTAGGCAACTAATGTCTTTCTAAACAATTCTGCTTGCTTTCAGCAAATACATGAACAATTAGGAAAATGGAGACATAGAAAGAGCCATTCCTTGCTTCATCACCTATCCATTTCTCAAGAGTCTTACCCTTTGGCTTCTAAAATATTTTGGCAGTACAGAAGAAAGACTGCATGGAAACAATGAAAAGATGTTGCAGTTTTAAAAGATAAATAAAAGAGTGAGCTCTTAAACACATTTTCATGCTCTGTACAAAGTGTTGTGTTATATAAAAATGTATGTGACTCTGTTTCTTTAAAAAGCATCAAAAATGGAAAATAAAATAAAAAAATACAATGCAGAAAACCTTTTGTACTCACACTCCAAAGGGAGAAAGGTTTCAAAAAGAGCCTCGTGGCGCAGTGGTTAAAACGCTGTACTGCAGCTAAAACTGTGCTCACGACCTGGGGTTCAAATCCCAGGTAGCCGGCTCAAGGTTGACTCAGCCTTCCATCCTTCCGAGGTCGGTAAAATGAGTACCCAGCTTGCTGGGGGGGCAATGTGTAGCCTGTATAATTAAAAATTGTAAACCGCCCGGAGAGTGCTTGTAGCGCTATGGGGCGGTATATAAGTCCAATAAATAAATAAAATAAATATAAACTTCCCTACTCTCACTGCAAGAATGAAATCAGGAATTGTAACAATTCTGTGTGTATTTGTGTTTCCTTCCTGACCATGTGGGATCCTTCAAGATTTCCTGTAAGATTTGTCAGAGGAAAAGAACAATGCGAACAAACTGGAGGAAGTTCAGAGGAGGGGACTGGAAACCAAGCTTTAGGAGGAAAGATTGAAAGAAGTGAGCATGTTTCACCTTGAGAAAAGAAGACTGAGGGGAGATAGGCGAGCACTCTTCAAATACATATGACTGAAGATTCTCAGTCATCCAGCTGAGGTTATCTGGAGGAAGAGTCATGGCAACAGGATTTCTCTCTCATTAGGGTGAAATGTTTTGCTACTGATTCAAGTAGTGTCTTCAGTCTGAGGAGAGTTGATAGAGAACTGTGATATATTGGCTTCATTGGAAAAACACAAGGCAACACATACTGCCTGGCAGAAACCTGTGGAATAACTTATAATTTCTTGACATGGTGATCCATGCTAATTTCTGTGATGGTCCTTAGTATGAAAATGACCGTCAAAGCATCTGTGTTGGAAGGGGAGATTTTTCAGGACCAGTAGGATCAAAATAGGTAGTTTGAGAGAGGGGTCAGGGAGGCCATAAATGTGCATGTAGAAGATCCTTCACTCAACAGGGGTGGAGGCCTCAGATGCAATCCGCCTCCTATTTATCATGCTGCCCTTTCATCCGTCCTCAGAAAGATCAGGACTGCACCCACAAGAAAGACCACTGTTTATGACTGTTAATGACCCATGACAATGGGTGGAGAAGGACTGTAGAAGTGGCATTTTTCACTCCCCTCCCCTCCCTGTCTTTTGTTCATCTAATGAGCCTATTCAGACCAGGAGAAACTGAAACCAAGGAAGGATGATGTGGCGATATCCTCTGAAGCCCTTATCCCCCCAGGTCTTCACGAGGTTCTCGCTCTTCTTCTTTCTTCGCTGCCACCAGGTATTACTGCTTTAATACCAGTTAATCATTGAGACATGTGGGCTTTTAAAACTTCAGGCATTTATTAGATCAGGGAAGTTAATATATGATTAAATAGTCAATATGTAAATCACAGGTTGATAATCACTAGTATTTGAATCAAAACCACTATAACTCTAAACCTCTTTTAGATCTCTATTCCATTCATCGTTCGCACAAATCTCTAACTCACTCTTAGTTCACTTTTAAGTTTCACACTGTTTCTCACTACCAGAATCTCTCCCTCAGACTCCATACACCAGCCTTTATATCCAGCCCCCTCTCCCTTGGCTCCGCCTTCCATTCTCTCATTGGCTCCTTCTCCACTGTTCAGCTGTGATGGACAGGTGAGGGTGGGGCTGTTTGCTACAGATGGTTTCATGAAGGATATATGATATATGAAGCAACGATAATCCGTTCCAGAAAAATCGTTGCTATACGGATTCATTGCTATGTGGGACAAAGAAGCGCATAGGAATGCATTAAAACACGTTTAATGTATTCCTATGGGCTGTAAACTCACCGTTCTGTGAAATCCTCCATGCAGCCACCATTTTTGCTGCCCGGTAAGCGAGGAATCCGGGCAAAAACACAGTGGGCGGCCATTTTATTTACCCGGCGGCCATTTTGGAACTGCCTATCAGCTGTTCTTAAAACATCACTATGCGAAAATAGGTAAGCGAAACGCTTACCAATCATCGCAAAGCGATGTTTTACCATCTGAAAAACACAGCGCTATGCGGACCTTATAGACCCCTTCCAATGATTCATTCTAAGATTTTGAATCTGCTCATGAATCATAAACAGAGCAAAATCTTAGATTAGGGAAATCTCACTGCCAGAACATAATGATCCTCTTTCACTGGGAATGAGATGATGCGACAGTCATATACTTTATGTATTGAGACTAGAGATGGGGACAAATATTAAAAACGGACCGGCTTTTTCAATGAAAATAGCCAATTCGTTAAATATTCGTCAATCCGTATTCATCCAATTTTAAGTCTCAACAAATATGGATCGATGAATATTTTCCCATTTCTATTCATCTTTCGTTTTTTAAAAAAAACACTCTGCCTACTGGTCACTGTCCAGTTGATCAGTGGGCCAATAGGTAGCCACTCACCCCCACATCCACCCGGTGGGGGGTAGCAGTGGGGTGGTGGTGGTAGCGGGGAGGTCATGGCAGCTGAGAGGGTGTGGCCTGTTTTTTAAATACCTCCCCCCCATGAATAGACAAATATGTTATTCGTCACTTCATGGGGGCAACTTTGTGCTTTGTGAGTTGTCAACTTTTGTTGACTCTCAAAGCGGGATGACTCACCAAAACTCTCAAAGCGGGATGACTCACCTAAAGCCCCATCTCTAATTGAGACATCATGGTTTTATGGACTGATTCATCCTTCATTAAGGAAAGAAAGGAGAAACTAGGGTTGTCAAAGAAGTGAAAAACTTTTATTTTCAGGGAGCAGAGGCAGATAGGCAGGCAGAGCGACACAGAAAGGAAGGAAGGAAACAAAAATGGAAGATCAGAATAGCATTTGTTATTCATTTCCTAAGAAGTCGCTTTAATATGGTTGCAGAAGAAAAGCAGGCTGGGTGGGGCAGGGGGTAAAATTCAGTAGAAATTCAAAGACTTAATAGTTCAATATGAGCTTTTGTAGATCAAAATCTACTTCCTTAGACTTGAGGAATGCAAATACATGTCTTTGATATTTATACAGTGATCAAAATCTACTTCCTTAGACTTGAGGAGTGCAAATATATGTCTTTGATATTTATACATGCCGGCTGGATAGCTCAGTGGTTTAGGTATCTGGCTGCAGAGCCAGAAATTGGGACTTGGATTCTCCATGTTGTCTCCTGGAAAAAGAGCTAGCCTTTGTAAATTTGTGCAAGGTGCACAGTCTCAGGGCATCCGTCAGAGGAAGGGAAGGGTAAACCACTTCTGAGTACACGCAACAATGGGCTCAAGTTACAGGAAGTCAGATTTTGATTGAATGTCAGGAAAAGCTTCCTAACTGTTACAGCAGTACAACAGTGGACCCAGTGACCTTGGAAGGTGGCGAGGGCTCCAACATTGGAATCATTGAAGAGAAACGTAGACAACCACCTGACAGATATCCTTTAATTTGTATCCTTCATTAAGCAGGCAGTTGGACTTGATGGCCTTTATACGTCCTTTCCACCTCCACTATTCCACGATGCCACGATGCTATGATTCTATTCCCTATCAAAAAACCCTGGAAAGGGTCACTGCTGAACCCTAAAAACATATATCACAGATTATCTTTCCAGCACACCATATCCGTTTGACAATTTATGCTCCAAAGATTTCTATCCTGAAAGGAAGGAAGGAAGGAAGGAAGGAAGGAAGGAAGGAAGGAAGGAAGGAAGGAAGGAAGGAAGGAAGGAAGTTACAGAGACTTCTGCTCACTTCATAAAACTGGACTTTAATGGAAAGTTGGGAATAAAATATCAATAACAAGAAAACCCTTAAAACAATTTTAAATGGGACACATTTCCAGTCCACTGAACCCTAAAAACATATTTAGCGATGTGGTACATAATGGTTTTGCTTTCCAGCATGCCACGTCCCATTGAGAATTCATGCACCAAAGATTTCTACCATTAGTCCCCTTGGGGCAGAAGTATTAATGAGCAGGGAGGGCTTTTGTGTCAGCCAATCATAAGCGTTGTCAATTGCTACGCTGCTTGTTTTCAAGGACTTCCTGAATTGGTATTCTTTTTCTGTTCTTGTTATTAACTTCATCACATTTCAAATATGCCACCTGCCGTTGTTTTCATGTGTTTCACTGCGTTTTCATGGGTGCTCCTGAGTTGTCCAGGTAGGTAATATTCAGAGATGTGTTATGGAATTACATCCGTGAAAGGGGGCTCAGGGCTGTCTAGGTGGCCAGCTGGTGATGGATATTCCCTGGATCAAACTACAAGGGCTTAGCTGGATTGCTGCAGACCATTAAAAGACATGCAGGAAAAGTTATTGATCATACTGGGTTCCATCAATGCAATACAGTGGTGCCTCGCTTAACGAGCACACCGTATAACGACAAAATCGCATAGCGATTAGGTTTTTGCGATCGCAAATGCAATCGCATACCGATGGCCCCTATGGGCGAAACTCGCATAGCGAAGATCGGGAAGCGTTTCGCTTACCGATCTTCACTTTGCAACGCCCGACAATCAGCTGTTCGGCGGCTCCAAAATAGCCGCTGGAATCCCCGAGGGCGCGAAAATGGCTGCCGGCTATGGGAAAACTTCGCTGAACGGTGAGTTTTGGAGCCTATTGGAACGCATTAAACTAAGTTTAATGCGTTTCAGTGGCTTTCCCCATTCCGTACAGCGATGTTTTCACATAGCGAGGGTTAATCCGGAACGGATTAACCTCGCTATGCGAGGCACCACTGTATTCATTACATGAATCTGTCCAGTTATGTTTGGATACAATATGCCTCAAGGGATGTTGGAAAAGTGTTGATTCCATTTTGGGGTTTTCGTAAGACCTTTATAGGATAATTAGTGTACAGTGGTGCCTTGCTAGACAGTTACCCCGCATGACAGTTTTTTTTTGCTAGACATTGGCTTTTTATGATCGCTATAGCGATTCGCAAAACAGTGATTCCTATGGGGGAATTTTGCTGGACAATGTTTGGTCCCTGCTTCGCAAACCAATTTTCGCTAGACGATGATGTTGACAGCTCCCTCCGCGCTCGCAAAACGGGTGTTTTCAAGTCCTAAGCTTCACAAGACAGCGATTTAAACAGCTGATTGGCGGTTCGCAAAGCAGCTTTCTAATGGTCGATCTTTGCTAGAGAACGACGATTCTTCCCCATTGGAACGCATTAAACAGGTTTCAATGCATTCCAATGGGGAAATGCTTTTTGCTAGGCAATGATTTCGCTAAACTGCGATTTCAATGGAACGGATTATCATTGTCTAGCAAGGCACCTCTGTATTCTGAAGATAAGGTTTAACACACAGGGATGCAAATCTCGCAGCCCCTTGCTGCCTACGGAAAGTTTTTGGAAACTTCAGTCGGTCCAAAATACAGCATCCAGATGGCTGATTGTCATGGGGATCACACAACCCCATTGCTACAGCAGCTCCACTCCACTTGCTGATCCATTTCTGGGCTGAATTCAAGGTCTTGGTTCCAACCAATAAAGCCCTTATTGGCTTGATCCCAAGGGTCTCCCCTTATGAGCCTGCTTGACTGTTAAGATCATCAGGAGAAGCTTCTCTCTTGGTCCCGCCATCTTCACAGGTACATTTGGTGGATACGTACATGGGAGAAGGTCTTTTCTGTGGTTGCTCCCAGTCTTTGGAACTTCCTCCCACAGGAGGCCTGCTTGGCCCCATCTTTGCTGTCCTTCTTCAAGCAGGTGAAGATCTTGCTTTCTCTGTTACATGTTACTTCTCTAGGCATTGTGGGGAGAATAGGCATTTGACCCGCGTGTCTATGGAACTGCTGGATAGCTTGATGGTTGAAGTCCAGAGGTGGAGAGTTTGGTTCCCCTTGGTGCTTTCTTGACAGGGTCTGGACTCAATGAACCATAGGGCCCCTTCCAGCTCTGTGGCTTGATGGTGGTGGTGATGAATTCAATAATGAAATTAATGTAATTCCTTCTCTCCCTGCCCCCCAGGTTATGACTGTTCTGTGCCAATCATGACTGAAAGGGAATGTCTGACTCACAAAGTATGGGGTTTTTGCACTGACGAGGAATGTGATATGACCAACGAAGGGCATTCACTGCTAGGTTACTGCAAGGGAGGAAAAAACTGCTGTGCCAAATGGTATGACATTTACATATTCCTCTTTTGAGATCTCAACAGAACTTCATTTTCAATGACTAGATATATAATAATAAACATGATGTGCCATTAAATCTATTCTGACTAGAGATGAGGACGAACAAAAAAAGAATCACGATATTTGTTAAAAATTGGTTTAATATCCATGCCTTTGTATTTGTCAATTCCAAAGACCCCGATTAATATGAAAGGATGAATATTTATCCATTTTCATTTGTCCCCCGTAGGCATAGAGGGAAGGCTAGCTCTCTCTGCCTATGGCCTTCCCGCTCCGCTGATCAGCCCGCCAAACAGCCTGCCCTACGGAAATCCAGGCCGCCCTTTCCAAAGATGGCACCGGTGGGGTGGCTTCCCTGCCCTAAGGGAAGCCGTAGCCACCATCTTTGCAAAGGGCAGCCCGGCTTTCCAGACGGCAGGCTGTACTTCACTCAGATAGCAGGGGAGGCAGCAATAAAGGCCACGGCAGACAGTGTGTATTGGTGGTGTGGATGATGGGCACAGATGGCAGCAACCAAGGTAGGGAAGTGACAGGGCAGTGGGAAGGAATGGGGGAAGGGGGTGGGGTGGAGTGGGGCAGGTCTGAGCGTTTATTTTTTAAAGATGGCCTTGGGCTGTCTAATTAAAAAAAACTGGCCAACTGGCCAACCAATGGTTTGTTGGTTCACAGGCGGGAAATACGTGGTTTGCGGTTCATCAACCATTTTGGCAGTTTGTCCCCATCTCAAATTTTGACCTATGCCAACCCTTTTCAGGGTTTTCATGGTAGAGCAGTGATCCCCAACTTTGGGCCTCCAGATGTTCTTGAACTACAATTCCCAGAAGCCTTCACCTCCACCTCTGCTGGCCAGGATTTCTGGGAGTTGAAGTCCAAGAACATCTGGAGGCCCAAGGTTGGGGACCACTGAGTAGAGGATACACAGAAGTGTTTTCCCACTTAACGATGCATTGTGCTGATTACTTTTACCGTTTGGGCCTCTATACGAAAGGAAGTCATGAATGAAATATATACACTTTTCTTTTTGGCAGAAATGAGATGTCAAGTCGGAAACTGGAGAGAGCAGCTTTCCTCAGTTCGAGAATAATGATGGTTTTCTCAAGAATCACCATCACTTGGGCAGCAGAAAAGGTTATCGGCTCAAGACAACGGCTGTTCTACTGTGGAAAAAAAATGGATAGAATTTTGAATAAATTCACCCATTCCATTCTTGAATAAAGACTGTGTGCATAAGGGGTGTCAGCATATGCCACTTCTAAAATTTATTTTACCTTGCAAAGTTCTGAATAATTGGATGCTCCTCATTGTTTCAGTGTTTATTCCTGATTTGTGAAACCGTTTTCTGCCCAGATCTACAACTTCTGACACATCAGAAATTAGCTCTCTGTGATTAGGAAAACCATTAATCTCTAGTGTTTTGGAAATAGCTAGATTTCACTTTGATTTTCCCCCCAATCAAACTTGCCAATACAGAACTGATCTGGCTGCCCCGCTTCCCAATGCCCTGATGACTGATTTGTACATAGTGTTTGAGAAATAGCTAGATTTCACTTTGACTCCCCCCCCCCAAAAAAAAATCAAACTTACCAATACAGAACTGATCTGGCTGCCCCACTTCCCAATGCCCTGATGACTGTGGATTTGTACACGTATGTAGGTTATGTATATATTATATATTATATATAGATATACACAAGGGTGTTTGGAAATAGGCCAAGCTAAACTTTGATTAAGAAAATCAACCCTGAGTGCTCCCTGGAAGGACAGATCCTGAAGCTGAGGCTCCAGTACTTTGGCCATCTCATGAGAAGAGAAGACTCCTTGGAAAAGACCCTGATGTTGGGAAAGTGTGAAGGCAGGAGGAGCACGGGACGACAGAGGACAGTGTCATCGAAGCGACCAACGTGAATTTGACAGTGGGAGATAGGAGGGCCTGCCGTGCTCTGGTCCATGGGGTCACGAAGAGTCAGACACGGCTAAACGACTAAACGACAAAACTTTGATTATCTATTGAATGATAGATCCAATTTTCTGTTCAGAAAGAAAGCTCCCAGTTAGCCCCTGGGGCAGGAACAGGAAGCTTGAGTGGAGTTAGGCCTAGCTAAGCCTCACAGCTTTCCAGTCGAGACTTTTCTCCAAGGTGAGCCTCATTGAAGGGCCTGCCTGTCATGTAGAACTTCCAGAATGGAACGTGCCAGGAAATCCAAATGGCCCATCCCTAAAAATTTTCTGTTTGTTTTCTTTATCGAGGGGCCTGCCTGTCATGTAGAACTTCCAGAATGGAACGTGCTGGGAAATCCAAATGGCCCATCCCTAAAAGATTTTCTGTTTCTTTTCTTTATCTAGTCCATTATCAACTTGGGACAAGAAAAAGAAACGTTCTGAACCTAACCAGAGAAGACCTTCAGAACCCATGAGATTTACCTAAACTTTGACTCCCTGTTCAGCAGCTGATACACTGGATCTAGTGAGCACTATCAATTAGAACCACTGCGCCACGAGGCTCTTATTATCAACTTGGGACAAGAAAAAGAAATGTTCTGAACCCAACCAGAGAAGACCTTCAGAACCAATGAGATTTACCTAAACTTTGACTCCCTGTTCAGCAGCTGATACACTGGATCTAGTGAGCACTAGCAATTAGGCTGAGGTCCATGATGAAGAAGGACAAGAGATAACCGTTGGGTTGATCTCCGCTAGATACTAAATGTATGCATTAAATTTGGCAGACCAGAGAGAACTTGGAGGGATATCTCAGATCAATGTTCACAGCATTTAAACGGATTCAATTAATAACAAAGTCTTAATTCACCTCTCATGGAATGGCTATAAACATCATGAAAGATGGCTTCCATTCCAGTTAGCAGAGGCAAAATACATGGAATTTGGCAGACCAGAGAGAACTTGGAGGGATATCTCAGATCAATGTTCACAGCATTTAAACGGATTCAATTAATAACAGAGTCTTAATTCACCTCTCATGGAATGGCTGTAAACATCATGAAAGATGGCTTCCATTCCAGTTAGGAGAGGCAAAATACATGGTTAACAGTATCACCAGAAACATCCAGCAGAACCTGCAGAGGTATCCCCACTTTGTGAAATTCCCAGAATAAATCATCCACCATGCCAAAAGAAATCAGTCTCTGACCCAGGCTTGAAGCTAGACTGACATTGTACCCATGAAACACAGGGCGTCCAGATGCCACGACTGTTGTAAATATGAAATAAAATTTAATTTAGCCCCCTTGTTCCTCTGTCAAGGTCCGGAAAGAGAAACAAACCCACACAATGAATTTTCAAGGACGAAGATAGGTTCCTTAAAAGAGGTCATTAGTCTTGCAAGATTGAATACTTTGGTCAGAGACCACAAAAAAAGCTGCTCAGTTTGACACAGAAGAGCATACCTCCTCTATCGGGCTCTTCTCAAAACAAAGCTGATCATGTAATCCTGGTGCAATGTTGGTGAAAGCAGAACAACAAATCCTAATTTTCTGTAAGCAATTCTGACCTAAAGATATATGAGTGTTCTGATGTTGTTACTTTGCGAGGCACCAGGAGTATGACCTTGTAACTCCTTTTGCCTTACTCTGGACAATTGGCATCTTTAACAAAGGACAAAGACATACTGTGGATGCAATCGCCCCATATTCACATGATTCATCCAAAGAAAAGCCACTCAGTTTGACACAGAAGAGCATACCTACTCTATCGGGCTCTTCTCAAAACAAAGCTGATCATGTAATCCTGGTGCAATGTTGGTGAAAGCAGAACAACAAATCCTAGTTTTCTGTAAGAAATTCTGACCTAAAGATATGTGTGTGTTCTGATGTTGTTACTTTGCGAGGCACCGGGAGTATGACCTTGTAACTCCTCTTGCCTTACTCTGGACAATTGCCATCTTTAACAAAGGACAAAGACGTACTGTGGATGCGATCGCCCCATATTCACATGATTCATTTGGTGTTGTGAGCTGTCCTTGATGGATCAGGAAAGAAATCTAGGTGTGCTAGTGGACAGCTTGAGGAAAGTGTCAACCCAGGGTGTGGTGGAAGTGTGTGGCCGATTCCATGCTAGGTATCATTTAATTGAAAATAAAACAGCCAACTTGCAATGCCATTGTTCAAAATGATGGTAAGGCCGCACCTCGAGTATTGTGTACAGTTCTGGTCTTCGCACCTCGAAAAAAGACATCGTGGAACTGGAAAAGGTAAAAGGTGCAGAAGAGAGTGACTAAAATGATGACTGGGCCGGGGCACCTCCCTTCTGAGGAAAGACTACAGCGTTTGGGGCTCTTTAGTCTAGAGCACTGGTTCTTAACCTTGGGTTACTCAGGAGTTTTGGACTGCAACTCCCAGAAGCCTTCACCACCAACTGTGTTGGCTGGGGTTTCTGGGAGTTGCAGTTCAAAAACATCCGAGTAACAAAGGTTAAGAACCACTGGTCTAGAGAAAAGGGCAACTGAGGGGGGACATGATTGAGATGTATAAAATTACACAGGAGATGTATAAAGTGGATAGAGGAAAGGTTTTTTCCCTCTCATGCAATACCAGAACCAGGGGACATCCACTCAAATTGAGTGTTGGGAGAGTGAGAAGAGACATGACCCAGCATGTTGTTAGTCTGTGGAACTTCTGGCCACGGGATGTGGTGATGGCACCTGGCCTGGATGCCTTTAAAAGGGGATTGGACAGATTTCTGGAAGAAAAGTCCATCGCAGGTGACAAGCCATGATGGGGACATACAAACTCCAGGCTTAGAAGAAAGGCACCTCGAAATGCCAGATGCAAGGGAGGGGTATCAGGAGACCGGTATCTCGTTGTCTGGTGTGCTCCTTAAAAGGGGATTGGACAGATTTCTGGAAGAAAAGTCCATTGCAGGTGACAAGCCATGATTGGGATGTACAAACTCCAGGCTTCGAAGAACGGCACCTCCAAATGCCAGATGCAAGGGAGGGGTATCAGGAGACCGGAATCTCGTTGTCTGGTGTGCTCCCAGAAGCATCTCTCTGGTGGGGCCACTGTGAGATACAGGAAGCAGGACTAGAGGGGCCCTTGGCCTGATCCAGCAGGGCTCTTTTGATGTTCTTATGTCTTGGAATGCTAACACAGCCTTCATCTTACCATTGTTAATTCCCTTGCCGGCCTCTAGGCTCCTAGCCTTAGGTTGGGTCTTTCTTGCGTCCTTGCTAACTATGTGATCTCCCTTCATGTGGACGAGGGAGACAACTTTCCCAGGTGTGATGCTCAATGTTTTGGGAGGCATTCCTTTCAAAGAATGTTGATTCTGAGTTTCTGGAGCTACGAAGGCCTTCTAGAGGAACACAGTATTGGAAAAGAAAATGGGGATCAATATATTTCCTAATTTCCACACCTTACACCAGATTCAAAGTAGATCACTTCCGTTCTTGTGATAGAACCATCAAACAAATGCAAGCCCACATAACCGTAGAGTTGTCTAGCCTACATGTAGAAGCAACAACAACAGAAAGTCAAAATAGGCAGCTTTGACTTCAGCCCTTAATTTTTCTTAAGTGCATTGAGGAAGAACCACAGAAGATAAGGCATATCCAATATTGTTGGTGTGCCATTGTGTTCACTTATCAAAATGCTCCTTTATCTCTGCCCCTTGTAGCATCTCACTGGCTGTGTGGAATGTTGACCAACACTGTGGAATAGATTTGCCTGAGGCAGGAAAAAAATGACCCTTCTCCTTTCTTCTGATCTAAGCCTTCCATTGGCATACCAGCCTGGATTTCACTCAAGTTTAGCCCGTCTGGCATGCTGTGCTCTTGAAAAACTCGTGCTAGCTCTTTATGATCACAGAGGGCTTCTTCTGAAAGGGTTAACTGCCTTATCTCTTGTCCTAGAAACTTTACAAGTTCCATTATCAGGTTGTCTGGACAAGAGTTCTCCACTTCAGAAAGATGGGATGAATAATTGCCTGAAGTAGAATAAAGACATACAGGGTGCTTCCTCGTTTTTCCAATACTGTGGTGCCTCGCTTGGCGAGGATAATTCATTCCATTGAAATCGCTGTTAAGCGAAATCCTCGTCAAGCGAAACGAAAAAGCCCATTGAAATGCATTGAAACCGGTTCAATGCATTCCAATGGGCTAAATACCTCAGAGTCCAGTGAAGATCCTCCATAGGGGTGGCCATTTTTGGTGCCTGTAAAGCGAGGAATCCATCCTAAATTGCAGCGAGGAGCCATTTTGCACAGCGGGCAGCTATTTTGGAGCTGCCAATCAGCTGTATTAAAATCATCATTCAGTGAAAAATTGGTTCCCGAAGCAGGGAACCGATCATCGTTAAGCGATTTTTCCCTATTAGAACATCGTTTTGCAATCGCAAAAGCGATCGCAAAAACTTCATTGTCAAGCAGTTTCATCGTTTAATGAGGTAATCGTTAAGCGAGGCACCAATGTACTTTTTAAAAATTATAAACAGAGGCTGTGGGAGGTTCTTGGCATATTCCTCTAGCATCCTAGGGTGCAGTTTGTCCAACCTTGAAGACTTCAATGTATCGTTAGCACTGTAGCATCACACCTCTTTACTTTCTTTGGTCTGCAGCTTCCCTTCATCATCACCATTTGCTCTGTTTTTGACAGGCCTTCAAGAACCACTTTGCTTTGTGTAAGAAGGGTAAGAGTCCAACTAGATGGAGTGTTCATCCCGATGGTTGAAGAGGTCATCTCTACAGGACCAGCAATGTTTGTTTGTCATATAGCCTGTGATTTTACTCATTTGTAATCTTGCAATCAGCGTGCTGTGTTCTGCTACAGACTGTTGAGAGGCACAAAGGGGCTTAATATGTCTGAGTTCTGAGGACATCACTTTGTGGGAGGGGAAATGTTTTAACTGTAGGGAATACCAATGTTTCTTTAAATCTATTAGACTCTCAGGTAAGGTAAGTTCAGCAGATCTATCTTTTCTCTGTTAGCATGTCACATTTTTACCTCTTCTCCACAAAGTAGACCTCTATTTCTCCACAAAGTAGACTTTACTTCCCCACAAAGTAGACCTCTGTCCTTTTGCTGTTCCTCTTCCTGTTTCAACCTAGTAAAATTATTTTTATTGTTGCTATCTTTGCATTGTATCTCAAAAATTTCCCTACAGGATGAAAGGACCTGAACAACTGCATTTCTAAAGCAGCTGATGTCCCTTCTGTACTTATCTGCATGTACTCTACAGTTGAGTTCATTTACCTGATTAAGCTGTGTAATGTAACAACAGATAATGGGGAGGGGGATTAGAAACCTTAATAATAATAATTTAAAAAAACAATGTTTCTTATGCAGTGAACCCTGAATATCTTCTGTCTCATGTCCTATATTTTAGTCTTCCTAGTACAGTGGTGCCTCAACTTACGAATGTCCTGACATACAACAATTTCGAGTTACGACCAGCTCCGGCCACAAAATTTTGCTTCGACTTGTGGCCGGAACTTCCAGTTACGAACACAAAAAGGCAGGGAAAAAGGTGGGAAATTCAAATTGCTGTTGGTGGCAAAGAGGCTGCTTCTTTGTAGCTCTTTCGCCCCAGTAGTTAGAGAGTGTGCAATCAGAGGTGGCTTCAGACTGCCTGGTAAGGTAAGGTGCTGCTTTCTGCTTTTTAAAAAACTGTTCTGGGTGGGTTTTGCAGTGTGGTTTTGGGCTGGGGGGTTATGTTTCTGTGCTGTGATGGGTCTTGGGGCCCCCCCATTTCCAATGGGTCTTGGGGGTTTTGTTTGCTTTTTGGTTTTTCCCCCCATTTCCAATGGCTCTTGGGGTTTGGTTGCTTTTTGGAGTTTTTCCCCCCATTTCCGATGGGTCTTGGGGGGTTTGGTTTCTTTTTAGAGTCCCCCCCCCCCATTTCCGATGGATCTTGGGTTTGCTTGCTTTTTGGGCTTTTCCCTCTGTTTCTGATAGCTCTTGGGAGTTTGGTTGCTTTTTGGGTCTCCCCCCATTTCTGATGGGTCTTGCAGGGTTTGGTTGCTTGTATGCTTCCCTTGCTTTTTGCTTTGTTTTCTTTGCATTTCCGATGTGCTGTGCTTGCTTTTTTGCTTTGCTTTCTTTGCATTTCCGATGGATCTTGCATGCTTGATTGCTTTTCTTTCCCCCTCTCCTTTGGCCAGAAAGGATTAATCACGTTTCCAATGGGTCTTGCAGTGATTTTTATTTTTATTTTTTGTTATTTTTCTTCGCCCAGAATGGATTAATTGCATTTCAATGCATTTCAATGGGAAATGGTGCTTCGACTTATGCAGTTCCGGAACTAATTAAGTTCATAAGTCAAGGCACCGCAGTACATCATGATTTCTTGAGAAGCAATGAAAGTGGAATGTCTACCATCGGGAACATAAATGCACAAAGCTTATGGACAAGTGTGTCACCAACATCTATAAATAGCTAAGTGTTCTGCTTTTCAGATATCTCAATCATCATGAAGACTACCAGGATTTCAATTGTTATCCTTCCATGGATTCTCTTGGCTTCTACTGGTAAGACATGCATAAGAAGTATAGAATGACAGCACTGAAAAGGAACTTTTGATCTTCAAAACCCAAGTTTGCTGTCTAACTATCTAATTGTATGTTCTGCCTACTAAGAAGCATATTTTCAGTCTTTACTTACTTCCAGCTTTACTTTGTTCTTTCCAGCTGTACAAAACATGCATATGGACACGGTACAAGTAACCCCATAATGTTGTGATTAACGATTACCTAGTTTTATAACTATTCAGTTTATGATTACACATTTGTCATAGAATAGGAAATTGGTCAGCTTGTCACCAGTCGGCTGATTTCATCAATGATCAATCCACTGTTTCCACTTTTTCATCTGCCACCAATGAGGCCAGCAACATGACTTCAGATCTTTGATCTACAACAACACAAGCAGTCCTCCGGACATCAACCCTCCCCCAAGGAGGGAGACACAAAAATAAACTCTGCTGCAGTGGATGCACAAAAAGCTCCATGCAGTTTTCTGAGGTGGATCCACTCAACGTGAAGGTTTTTTTCCCCCATCCTGGGGTTTCATAATGTCCTTTTGCCCCCCCCAGCCCATCTTTGAAATCCTTTGCCTTCTCTTCCCCACATTTAATCTCCTCTGGCCTCTCCCTTCCCCGGTTTTGAACCGATGACGGCAGATGCAGTGTCAGGAGCTGCCGAGACTGACCGCCGAGAATGACATGAGGTTGCATCTGATAAATATTGAGCTGCACATTTGATGGCTGGTTGCCTAGAGGCAAGTCCAACCCTCACATCAAATCTTCAGTTGGCATTCTATTCTGAAAAAATGTATTTCAATGTGTAAAATTTCCAGAGGAAGAAGAATACTTTATTACGATCAACAGATCAGATGTGAGTAACACAGAACAACCACACAAGAATAAACAGAATCAATACAACTATAATATACATTAAGTGCGGCAGACTCTTAGGGGAACAAACTCCATAAATAAATGTTAGGAGTATACCCCTACCCCCAGTTCATACATATTCATATATGGATACATACATGTATATATCTACAGGATTAAGGCACCATTTCTCGCCTGCAGACTAGTGCCGCTGCACAGAAGCTAGCCATTTTAATTGTTACTGATGGACACTGGTCTGCCAGCAGATAACACGTATAGTACTCATCATCTCTACCGGGGATGCATTGCAAAATTGGACGAATAAAAGTGTCACGGATACCAGTATAGAAGGATCAATACAACAGAACATGGCCGACCGTCTCCACCACACAAGCCTCACAAGGACATAAGCGCTCTTCATAGGGAATGTTCTTTTATCTGCCTTCCAGCAGGACTGAAGGAAGTACATTAAACTTTGCTCATGTAAAAGCTTTTCTATATTTTGGAAGGGTCAGAATATTCAAATAGCTAGCAGGTAAAAATGCCTGCCTAAAGCCAGGTTGGGTCGTAGCAATGCTGACATGGTGTTGCAGCTCATTGTCTGTGATTCGCTGGTGCAGTTCCTGTTTTGCTTTTGTATAGCCCATTAACAAAATAGCACTTCTCGAGAAGCCCAAATTATTTAATTTCTCATTCATAGATCTTTGCCATCTGGACTGAAACTTATCAGTTAGCACTAGGGGAGCCAACCCCACAGGGGTGAAAAACATTTTTAGCCAAAAATTCAGCTTAAGTATCCATGCCCGAGACTCTATCAACATCTGGCCTGTTTCTAGTCGTAAAAGTGCATTTGGCACACAACTTGGGAGTCCAAGGATAGTTCTCAGAAATTTCATTTGAGTGGACTCCATTGCAATCCAATTTCTGTAACTACACCATTGTGCACCATATAACATCTGTGCTAACACCTTGGCATTGAAGGCCTGTATGGCTGATGGTATATACTGACCTCCTTTTGCAAAGAAAAAGTGTATGAGTGACTTAAAACTTCTCTGAGCATTTGCTATAGTGTTGGATATTTGAGCCTTCCAAGATCCTGAGGATTGGAAGATCACACCCAGGTATTTCTAAGATTTAACTTGCTCAATTGGATGGTCATTTATTTGCCATTTATGTGTGATCCGTTTCCTAGTAAACACTAAGACTTTTGATTTATCATAATTAATTACTAACTCCTCAGTTTTACAATAATTGCCCAGGGCTCTTAATAACAGCCGTAAGCCAACACAGGTTAATGAGAGAAGTACAACATCATCTGCATATAAAAGAGTAGTATTTTTTCCCAGAAAATAACCCCCACATTTTCCCCACTTTTTTCTGGAAAAAAATGGAGATTTTCTGAAATTTTACCTCTCTATTCACTGACAAATGACTTGACTTGGACTGGATGTGGATTTTTGTTTTTCATTCGCTCTGACTCAACTTAGAACCCACCCATCTCTCCCTTTATTTTCTGGGGAAAATGCTTATTTTTTAAATAGAGAATCAAACTTGGGGCTCGGGGCTCAGGACTTTGTACCAAAGACTGTGACTTGAATTTGGGACATGGACTCCAAGGCTTGCCAACATCCTTAGTTTTGACTTGAAAAAGATCGGGATCCACCGGTCTAGACAGATTCCAGCTGTATTATTGGAAGTGAAGCAGAAAGGTTCCCCTTGACATTTAGTCCAGTTGTGTCCGACGCTAGGGCACAGTGCTCAGCCCCATCTCCAAGCCGTAGAGCCAGCGTTTGTCCGTAGACAATTTCCATGGTCATGTGGCCAGCGCGACTAGACCTTCCCACCGAGGTGATACCTATTTATCTACTTGCATTTGCATGCTTTCGAACTGCTACGTAGGCAGGAGCTGGGACAAGCGACGGGAGCTCACTCCATCACATGGATTCGATCTTACGACTGCAGGTCTTCTGACTTTGCAGCACAGAGGCTTCTGCAGTTTAACCCGCAGCTCCATCATGTCCCTAGAGGTGTGAAGGAGATGGATATTTAAAAGCCTCATAGTGCTGTGGATTGCTGCCATCAGCAGATGAGGGGGGTAGACTGCCCCTCTGAGTGTACCTCTGAATGCATAGCCACATTCTGTTGTGGAGAACACGGCTGGTGAGGTCTGACTTGCCATTAACAATGAGGCATCTTTCCAAAGTGCAGAGCGTTCCCTCAACAACTACGTGCTCACTGACTTCTGAACCCTCCCTCAAAAATTATATGGTTCTTTTTTTCCCTGCCCTTCTTCCTGTCCATGTCCTTTTCTTCTTCTCCATGTCATACTCATTTTCCACCTCTACATACCAGCTTTAGAAACATGTGGAGGAATACTAGTATTAGAAAGTATTAGACAGATAGGAGAAGCAGAAATGAAAGATCATTGGTATATCTGGACTAGATGCGACAAGATGCTGGAATATCTTAAGGTTTTCCCTTCTCTCTCTCTCTCCCTTTCTCCCTCTCCTTCAAGGATACGCCTGTGTTTTGGAAGCGATAACGACAGCAGAAGTCTGCAAAGAGATAGGTGCCGTTTGTGTCCCTGGAGATGATTGCAAGTCACTTTTCGCCCCCCAGGGAACGTGTGGTGAAGGCATCTTATGTTGTTTTCTGTAAGAGTCTCCCTCCCTTTTTAAAAAAAGTACACAGGACCAGAAATTACAAAGCTATTCATTACTGACTCATCAAAAAGCCTCCACAAAAAACCATTTGCTGCCAGAAACCTTTATTACTCAGGAGGCAAAGCAAAGCAAACTTTGGGATGAGAAAGAGAAGGACATAAAACTGGGCAGAAAAATCCATTCAAGTGACTTCTAAAAATACGTGAAAAGAACATTAAAAATAAGAGGGGAAATGCAGTGACTGGAATCTTGTTGTGGAATTGCACCACACAGCTAGGATAATGTCATCTGCTAAAGCCATGCTGGGGCACTTTTCAGGGAACTAAAAGTTTCTTGGGGAGCTTCTTGGTCTTAGGTAAGCCTTCAAAAGCCCCAAAATGGTCTGCAGAACTATGTAAAGTTGAGAAACCATAACTGTCACTGGGGAATTTTTTGTTTTGCATTTATATCATTCTCTGTCCAATTCTGTGGCTCCTGAAGGCTGACCCATGACCAAGGAAATCCTCAGAAGGTGGGAGAGGGAAATAGGAAGCTTTTCATTCACACACACACACACACACACACACACACACACACAGAGGCTGTGGCTGACGATGTCATCCATGATGCATGGCATAGTTCCATCCACATGATTCCATACAATATGAAAACATTGCTTCTTACAGCACAAAACCATGTGATTCTTACTCATTCTGTTGCTTCTGAAATGCAACATCATGGTGGCCTTGTTGCATGACAATGACAACAACACCAACAACAACCATGACAAAAGATAGCCATGTTATTTCCTGGTTCTGGAAGGAATGCAAACAGAACGTGAAGTCAGATTTATGTACAGTGGTGCCTCACTAGACAGTTACCCTGCATGACAGTTTTTTTGCTAGACATTGACTTTTTGTGATCGTTTTAGCAATTCACAAAACAGTGTTTCCTGTGGGGGAATTTCACTGGACAATGTTTGGTCTCTGCTTCGCAAATCAATTTTCGCTAGACAATGATTTTGACAGCTTCCTCCGCGCTCGCAAAACAGGTGTTTTTGGGACCTAAGCTTTGCAAGGCAGCTATTTAAACAGCTGATCAGCGGTTCGCAAAATGGCTTTCCTATGGCCGATCTTCGCTAGACAATGACGATTCTTCCCCATTGGAACGCATTAAACAGGATTCAATGCATTCCAATGGGGAAATGCTTTTCGCTAGACATTGATTTCACTAAACAGCGATTTCAGTGGAACGGATTATCATCGTCTAGTGAGGCACCACTGTATTCCCTTTTCCTTTCTATTATTTGAGAAAAATATTCCCAATAATGAAACGCCCCCCAACTTGAAGTGAGAAAGACTGGATGTCCTGGAGGCTTTTTTGTATTATTTCTATGCATACATTTCTTTTTCAAAAAGAAAAGATATTATAAGAAAAAAAGAGAGAAAAGAAATTAGAAGAACAAAATCGTCAATGAATTACTTTGATTCATAGGCTGAAATCCTAGTGCTTAGAGTAGTAAATCAAACTAGAGTACGATACGTGAATCATGTTTCTCTCCATCTTGAGACCTCTCACATACTTCCCTCTCTGACTTCATCAGTCTCAAGGTCTCAAAACTCTGAAAGCTACAACCCTTCAAAACATTCCTGTTCCAAATAATCTCTTGTCAGTAGCTCCCATTTATAGTTCATTATACAAAGGCTGAAATCTTATTGCTTCGCGTAGTAAGTTGCACTAGGGTAGGTACTGAATCAGTGGGGATCTGATGAGTCAATTCCTCTGTAAGTTGCAGGGATTCAAATGGGTGTACCATAGCTGCAACTTGATTCAGTATAGTAAATCACAAATAGAGTTGGCCCATTTGAATAATCAGAATCCCCAAATCCTCACTGATCCAATAGGGCTACTTTGGTGTGACTTAGCAGGATTCAACAGGATTCCAGCCACTATGTTGCATATGTGCTCTTTGGAGTTTATTACATTCTTGTCCTGCTAGGTTTCTCCTTCTTTTTTGAATAGTCTCATTTGAAAGAGATCTTTCAGATAAGATTGTCATGCTCTGCTGCTTTTAAATGTGTTTTTAGAGTCGGGTTTTATTTATTTATTTAT